GAAAGAATGGCTTGCTCATTGTGAGACCGTATGACCTAGAAGCTCCTCTGCAGTCTACTGATAAACTCTGATACAGGGTTCTAACAGGTACAACTTAAGATATTTCCTCCGGCTTGGAATTCAGAAGAAACACACATGAATGGTTCTAACATGGCAGAGAGTGACTGAACTTTTAGAGGAGTCAATGTTCTTGGAGCAGGTAATTTCCCAATTGGTCCAGTTTTCCCTGGAGTTGCAGGAGAGGACAGCAAGGATGATGTGAAGGGCTGATTTTTTCATAGTTCACCATCAGCATGTCCTATATTTTCAACCTTACAAGAAGAAAGGCCCTGGGCTAGATAGGTCTCAGGAGCTCAGGGTTCTATACCTGCCTCTGACATTTTATAAACTTTGGAACTCAATTTCTTTCTCTGTATAATGAGAGATTTAAACAGAATGATTGCTAAGTCAATGTTAGTTCTGAACTATACTCCCCTTTCTCTCTACACATTTCAATGAACATAATTCAAGGCAGCATATAGCTTTTACAACTTTCAATTCATTTAGCTGCCACCAATTCCCCTCCTATGGATGGAATACCTGTATCTTTTATTGGTTGAGAATCTCCTAGACACCTGCTGGGTGCTTGATTTGGGTTGGACAATCCCTATGTGGTGATACTTGTTTGATGCATTTTGAATCAGTCACCCAAACTCTATCCAATTGTGTGACCTTAGGGTGCAGTCTGAAGAGGGCTGTCCCACATAGGTCCTGGACCAGTCACATGGAACAGAGAGGTTTTTGTGGGGCTTTCCTCATTTTGACTGTATTTCTAATATCAAGGGGATACAGGTCTGGCCTGAGGCCAGTGTGGCCCGAAATGTTATTCATGTGTTGTGACTTAGTCCCCCCATGCCTAAGGCAGATATTGCTAATCCTTCATAGTACAATACTTTAATTGGCCACAGTTGGCACCCAAGATGGGATCAATTTATCATCTTTGAGAAGGAGGAAGGTATATACATTTAACTCAGTGTAACCTAGTTTAGCCCCAAAATGCATGGCATGCGAGGATCCATAGCTGCTTACTTGACTCTATGAATTCCCGGGACTTGCTTTTTCAGGGCCTCTTCTGCTTCTACTTTTGTGACATGTGCTTTTCCTGTTATACTTAGTATTCACCTTTAATGTCAAATTTTCCCTAATAAATATACATCATGGTTTAGGAAAGGCTTTTGCTGTCTCTTGGGCTCCCTCTCTCTGAATTCTCCACCCATCTCCTGGCCATCTCTTCTCTGGGAGTGAACAGATTGCTCTTTCCCTTTCCTTCATGGCATAACAGCTTATTGAAAACTTCCTTTGTGCCAGGTACTAGTTTTAATTCTTTGCAAATACTATTTCATTTAATCTTTACACAACCTCTGAAAGATCTACTTTCATTATCCTCATTTTGCAGATAAGAAAACTGAGGTATAGAAGAGTTAAGCAACTTGTCTAATGTCACACAGCTAACAAGCAGCAGAGTTGGGATTCAAACATACACAGCCGTGTTTCAGAGCCCATGATCTCAGCCCCCACACTGTACTGTCTCTTATTAAAGCATTTCTTCTGGACAAATGCAGGATTCTTCCTAAGAGGAACTTTGGTGAACAAAAACTTCTTCATCTCTTTCTGTAAATATGCATATTTTAAAATTTTGCCTTGGATAGCCAACACTGGAAATACTCAACATTGAAAATACTGTTTTATTGATTCTAAGACACAATAGAAGGGAAGGTATACCATTATTTTATGTATTAAACTATGACAACAGTATAATGGTAGTCTACCATAACTCATAACTTGGTTACATTGTTTCAAAATTTCTTAAATTCCAAAAGCCTAGGCAATTCCTCCTGCCTTCAATCTCAGTAACAAAATATTACATGCTTCATCCACTTGTAGACAGCTTTCTTTCTTAGGTCTTGGAAAGGGCTTGCTTGTTATTTTCTAAGAAAATGTGAAATTTCAGTCATTCCTTCAATGTCAAGTATTTGTTTTGCTAATATCATATTGACACCTCACTGCTCTATTTTTCTCCCTTTCTGAAAACACAATAAGCATTTCATTTTAATGCTGAATCACTGTATATTTTGGAGACCATTTTTTCCTTTTTATTTTAGAAATGTTTAAACACATAAAAGAGTGGAAAGTATAAAATAATAAACTCTGTGAATCCATTACCTAACTTCAACAATTACTGACATTTTTCTGGTTTGAAGACATCTTACATAACTAAACTCAGTTCAGGAGTAAAGAAAATGGGACTATCTCTGTGCATGTTGGGGCATGTGGGCAATGACAATTTTGCTGTAACTATTCTCTGGCTTAGAGGGACTGGGGGCCACCATTACTGCAAGGACCACTCCAATTTCAGAGATATTAAAATGTGAAAAAAATGTGCATCTTACAATTGATGACATGCAGAAGCAGTGAGGCTAGGCTGTTTTAATTATGAATTTGTATCTAATGGGTCCAAATTTTCCTTAATACTTTGTGACTTTTAAAATACTTATTTTACTGTTTGTCCTTTCAGCCCTCTCTACCACCAAAACACAAAGAGAGAAGACCATTTCCATGTTTCTTCACCTAGACTTTGGACTTTATGGTCAGATAGGTGTTTAGCACTCCACTGATTACTTTGGTGAGGTCTTGGTGGAGATAGCCCAGTACCTGTTTTTCCCCAGCTAAGAATGGAACCTTGTCCCTGGGGCATTGGGCCACTCACATGCTCCTGGCAATGTATGCACGGCTCAGATCTGGCTTGCTGTAGGCTTTTGGGCCGCATCCAGGACATGTGCTTCTGTAAACAACAGGGATGCTCACTGTTTGCAGATTTAGTATCTGAACAAGGTACTGAATCCCCTGTACCCTCTCTTGCCCTGATGATCTTGTCACTTGGACTCAAGGACTTCCCTCTCACTTACGTTTTTTCTGGGGTCACTATTGCCTCTCCTGTCAAAATGTCTTCTTGGATTGGTATTCTGTTGACAGATATTCTAGGTCTGGAAACAGACACCCAAATCTGTGAATTCTCATGTTAAGGAACTTGTTCTAGGCTTGCAATGCTGAGCATTCTGAGCTGAGTGCCAGAGCCCGGAGAGGACAGTTTGGCCAAGGGATGCCCTCTCCCAGCTCTGACCCAATGGTGTTACCACATATGGGAAGAACAACGTTGGCAGGAAGCAGTCTGGGCATTGGCAGAAACCTCACGAGGAGGAGAGTCAGGAGAACTGAGCCATAATGTCAGAGGGAGTTGTGATAGTGGGAAAGACCCTAATGGGATGTCAGGGAACCGAAGTTGAGATCTTAGCCTTGTTGACTGTTAGCTGTTGAAGCCATTGCAATGACACACATGTACCCAATGGGCCTTGCCATTTCCATGCATTCTGACCAACCTCCACTAGCCAGCCTCTGCTTCCTTTTGTCTGCAGGCTTTTTCTTTCTTTTTTTTTTTAAAGAGCCATGAAGTCCACTCTGCTCACATCCTGCCCCAGCAGCCTCAACCAAGGGCTCTGCAGGACTGGCATGCAAACACCCCAGCTCCCTCATTCCATGGGCAGGATAACTTCAAGGCCTGCATTGTACTCCATTTCCAGAATTTCCTCAGGGAATTAACTTTCAGTTGTCCCCAGAGGTAGCAAGACTGATAAATCATTTTACTGGCTACCTTCTCTTCCTGGGTTCACTTTTTCACTCTTCTGACAGTTTTTCTTGCCTGTCTTAAATACACTACTTGTATTTGATTGCTTGTTTCAAGGTCTGGGGACACTGAAACTAGGACAATAGGTAAGTGAGTCATTTAATTTCTTAGGCCACAGGTTTTTCACCTGTTAAGTGATAGAAAAGCTGAGAAGATAGAAAAGCTGCTAGAGTTTCATGAGCTCAGGACAGACTTGTGAGTAGGCAAGGCAAGTTTCACTATCCTTCATTTTTCAGATAAGGAACCAGAGGCCCAGAGAGGTTTTCTGGATTGTTCATGGCCCCTCCCACTGATAACTGGCCAAACTGGCATGGAACACAGACCTTTGAACCCTGAAACCAGTCAGCTTCCATCCCCGTGTTTCTTAGTCTCTACTGCTTCTTTCCAAGAGTAGTTCTTATATTTCTCAGAATGCAAGAAAGAAGAGTCCAGTGTCAGAGACAGATTCTGTTATCTGGGTTTTGTTCTCTGGACTGTGGTCAGTCTTGGCTGGAGGAGGTACTCCTGGCCTCTCTGGTACCCTGGTTAGGCTCAAAACCTCCTGCACAGATCATCTTCTGGGGTTGAGTTCTCAGGGCCACAGAACCTTAAGGAATGTATTCATATCTCATGTCCCACCTTCTGGCAGATCCCTGCAGTCCTCTAATGGGCTTTGGTCAATCAATCCCAGGGCCATGGTTGAGAAATTTTTGATGGATAAACTGTGGTGCTCCAATTGAGGGAGTCCTTACCCAGTAATATCTATACCTATTCACTGCACCTATTCCACACTGTGGAATTCAGGTTGAGTCAACAGAACCCTTGTCAAAGTAGCAGGGTTTCCAGGGAGGGGTAACACAGGAGTGACTTTCAATCTTCATTTGATGCCTTAGCACACATGCAGAGCATCCTGACTCTCAGAGTGGAAGGTACTTCCTAGGAAGTCAAATGATCAGGTTAAAGTAGATCAGTTGCCCAGAGAGAAATTGAGGGAGAAGAACACAGGTAGGGATAGGTATGTTTTGAAGGGGTAGAAGGGGTCAGGGAAGCCAAAGTATGAGGTTCTGCTCATATGGGCAACAGAGAAGAGTTGCCTTGTTTAGCAAAAGGGTAGAGAATGAGGGCCCAGGGCATTAGGGGTTGGGAAACAGGGGGCACCTGGGGTAAAGGTAAAAAATATGTAAGGGTCACCCAAGGTTATCCTTCACAGTTTTGCTTCAGATCATCCCTTACCTTGATCTGCCCTGACCACATTTGTCCATCCATTTTGCAAGTGTGACACCCCAATTTTTCATCTTTTTTTTTTTTTTAATGCTTAAAGGCAATTGTATTCAGTTCCTTTCCATGCAGCACATAATAAGGTAATCCATGTGCTTATTTCTTTTTCAAATCAACAGTTTGGGACAACCTTTCAGGATCCACTCATCCTCCATAGTCAGCCATCTTGCAATGTGTTCTCCTAAGTGTCTTGCATGGAGGTAGAAGAACCTTCTTGCTGACCTACAGACTGACCAAGTAGGGGGTGTACTGGAAGGAGCGCTAAGGACTATTGTCTCTTCTGCAACCATCAAGCTTATGGTGCCACATTAACTTGTACCAACAGATGCTTATAGAAGCCACTTGGATTTGCCACAGCAGGGAGGAAGGCATGGGAGAAGAGGAGGAGGGACTCAGTGTCCTATGATGGAGTGTAGAGGCTGCTGGCTGAAAAAAACCAGGAACAATGAAAATGAGGTTATCTTCCTCAGGATGCCATGCCAAGCAGAAAGCCTCCGAAAAATCCTCCAGTCACTAGAAGATTCTTCTTCACAAATGACACCACCTCCTCAGCTTTGCTCCTGACCTCGGTAGGTATCTGATTGCTCTTACGGATCTTCAGCTGCTCTTTGGCTTTCTTCATGTCCTTCTCCACTCGTTGCCAATCAACTTTGATGTACCCAGAATGGTTTGCAAGTTGAAGGAGAAAAAATCCACCTCCCACAGCTGTTGCAGCCAACTTTCCAACCTTCTGGAATATGAAACCCGTGCACCATCCAGTGACACCTCCAATGAACAGCTGGGTTGCCACGCTATACTTTTCGGCTGAAAGTCCACATTCTGGCCCGAACAGCTTACGCCACCATGGCTGCTGCTTAGCAAATTCTGCAAGGTCCACTGACTCTATATCGCCCTCAAAGTTTCCTTCACTGGACGTGGCCATTTTGGTGAGCTAGTCTCACGAGGCCACACGCAGGGGACCTGCGCGGTATGCCACGGAGTGGTACGCTGTTGTGACCACCACCTGGCTTCCTGCACGTGGGGTAGATGTTTCCACCTGGCTTCCTGCACTTGGGGCAGATGTTTCCATTCCCACGGCGGCCGTGGAAGAGGGCGGGCCTGGCGCGCTGCGACCGCTTCCTGTCTCTGCAAGTGGCTGCGTCACAAAGTTCAGCAGGGCGGCGTCACAAACCCCGCAGCCCCGCCCAACAGATGCCATCCTGTTTTTTTTTTTTTTTTTTTTTTTTTTTTTTTTTTTTTAGAAGCAGTGTGGAATGGTGGAAAGAGCAACGAATGGACCACATGTCCAAGGATAAGACCTGAGTCTCTGTTTTCTCATCTATAGAATAAGAAAAATACAGTATTATTGTGAGGATCCAATAAAATTAAGTGTGTGAAATATTTTGTAAATTGCAAAACTTCTAGGCAAATGTCCAGGTGAATTATCTTGGAAAACACTTCCCTTCACACTGTCAACAGTCCCCCCTTTTGAGACTCAGTCAAAGATTTTTGTAGTATATTTGGGGAAACCTGTAGCCTCTCTGGATTTTGTAAAACCTGAGTGAGAAATTACTTCACCAGGCCTAGCATTTACTTTTTCTCTTGGACTTACCTGAAAAGAGCTGTCCGAAGTGTCATCTGTGGGAAGGTAAAGAAAAGAGGGGAATATGCTTCAGGAGGCACATGGGGCTGGGCTGTGGACCCTTCAAACATGAAAAAGCTGTGCTGCCTGGGACCTTTTGTGTGGTGCTTTCTCAGCCTGCAACAAAAAGCGTTCCCAATTTGTAGGGTCTGGAATGGCAGGGGTTGTTGCCTGGAACCCTCTGCAAATATCAAACCCATTATTGGGCTGAGGAAGGCATGGTTCTAATTGAATTTTTCCTCCCACCTTCTGTTCTGCAGCTGTAACAGGATTGCTTGTGCCATTGTGGCCTTTTTACCAGGGCTGGACTGGAAAAAGCAAATTTTATCCAATGCAATATATGAACAGGAATTAAGTCTGAACTTTTGAAGTATATAGTTTTTATGTCCTCGTGTCTTCTTGCTGCTGGAATTTATTGTGCCCATCTTAAGGATAACATAACAGCAAGTCTTCATCTAAGTAAAAAGTAAAAGGGAGAAAGGCAGAGAGAGAAATGGGCAGAAACTTTGAAGGGTGGATCTCACTTTCCTTGTAACTCTATAAATGATTCCAGTTCTCTTTCATCTTAAAGCCTGTCCCCTTCAGCCCCTGCAAAACCCTTTTTTGACACTGAATTATTTCCCTCTTCCTATGGTTAAGCTGCTCAAAAATAATCTCTATTCATCATCTCCACCTCTTTACTGCACATAACTTGCCCACCTACTCTGTCTGCCTTCTGCCTTGCCCAGTTCACTGGCCTTGCCCTCCTGATACCACAATTGATCTCTCAGTTATAATCCTTTTCCTCTCTCTGGCCCCACTTCTGCTACTTTATTTCAGGCCACTGTCGTTTCATGGCTGAATTACTTCAACAGCTTTCTAATGGGTCCTCTTGTCTCCTATGTTGCCCCGCATTAATCCATTCTTTTTACCGCTTCCAAAGGGATGCTCAAAGGCACTTCAAGGCTGTCAGGATGCTCCAAATCCCCCAGCCTGGCTTACTAAGCCATTTGAAGTGGCCAGTGCCCACCTGTGGTCTTATGGCCTGCCCAGCCCTTCTGGTGTCCTGCCCTCCAGCCATACTGATCTGTTTGCAATTTCCCTAAGCTCGGCTTTTGCTCTTCTCAGGATCTTTACGCTGATTGCCTTCTCTGTCACAAATGCCCTCTGCCTTTGCTGGACCGATTCCTATTCATGTGTCCTGCCTCAGCACAGCCTCCCTTGTCTCCTGGAAGCCCTCTCAGGTCCGGGGAGTCTTGATCTTGGGTCCTTCCCACGTTCCCTTCCAGCATCATGTGTTTTCCACATTCTTTCCCACTGTGTTTTTCTCTTCTCTTGACCATCTCCCTTTCTAGAGACTGGACACCTGAAGGCCTCAGAGGCAGGGACTAACATTAGGATTCATGCATAAGTGATATATTAAGGAAGGGCTCCTGTGGAGCCTGGTAAGGAGTAGAGGTGCAGGACAGTGGAAGGGAGGAAACCCAGCAAGAGGGCGTCCTCAGGCAACATCCTGGGGGCAGTAGCTACAGCCTGACCCTGAAGGGAAGCTTTGGAATATAAGTTACACCTTGGAATTGCCCATGGAAGGCCAGGGAGATGGACTGTAGTATCCCAATACCTATGGTTACTGGTCAAGGGCTGCCCTGGGGGAAGTAAATTCCTAGGATTCCAGCTCTTCTATGTGTGAGTGTGTATGGACAAGCTTCTGAGTAGCTGGAGGGGTGTCCTTACTGCTGAGGTATACCGAAGGTGGGTGGTGTGCAAAAATGACAGAAAGTGAACCCCGGGGTCCTGGGTGGAGCATTGACGTTATCATTAGAGTCCTGATCTTTGCATTGCTTGTCCCAGTGCCTGCAATGCCTGGCACATAGAAGATGTGTAGCAATTTGTTTTTTACATAAATGGATAACAGATTTCTTTTCTCAACTCCATTACTTGTTTGTGGATTTTCTTTTCTTTTCTTTTTCTTTTTCTTTTTTTTGAGGTGGAGTTTCGGTCTTGTTGCCCAGAGTGGAGTGCAATGGTGCGATCTTGGCTCACTGCAACCTCTGCCTCCTGGGTTCAAGTGATTCTCCTGCCTCAGCTTCTCAAGTAGCTGGGACTACAGGTATGCGCCACCATACCCAGCTCATTTTGTATTTTTAGTAGAGATGGGGTTTTGCCATGTTGGCCAGGCTGGTCTTGAGCTCTTGCCCTCAGGTGATTCAACTACCTCGGCCTCCCAAAGTGCTGGGATTACAGGCTTGAGCCACTGCGTTGGCCTGTTTGTGATATTTTACACTGTTCAAGTCTCCCTCCTTGAAAATCCCCATTCCCTTGGCCTTGAACCTCACGCTTGGTCCCTTTCTCCATGCTGCTTCCTTTCTTGGCTCATTGTCCCTGCTTCATTTTTCGCATGGCATTCCCAGGGGTTCTGTCCTCAACCACCATCTCAGTTTACTCACTGTGAGTGGTCTTGCCTGTATTTATGTGTAGATTAAGTGTGGTCTATATGCCCAATTCATAATTCCTCCATTCACTTATTCATTCATTTAACAAGTATTTCTGAGAACCTGGAATGTGCCCACCACTATTCTAGGTTCTGGGGAGATAACACTGAACAGATCATACTAAGATTGCTGCTTTCATAGGGCTTGCAGTCTGGTAGCTGGGTGGGAATGGGGGAAGACAATATGCAATAATCAAAATAAGAAAATTATGTAGTACATTATAAGAAAAATGGTAATGCAAAGCAGGATGGGCAGTATTGGAAGGACTGCATACATCTCAGGCAGGGGGATATTGCAAGTGTAGATAGGGTGGTCTGGGTAGACCTCATCGAGAAGATGGCAGTTGAGTACTCTGAAGGAGCAAAGGGGGTAAACCGTGCAGTTCCACGTGGGGAGAACATCCACGTGGAGGGAACTACAGTGCAAATTCCTTGAGTTGTATTCTTGACATGTTCAAGGACATGACAAGGAAGCGTGTGGTTAGAACACAGTAATTCTGAGGAGGAAAAGTAGGAAATAAGATCAAATGGAAATATGGGGTGAGTAGATTATGTTAGGGTCCTATGAGCTGTGACAAGGACTTTGGCTGTTGCTCATAGTGACAGGGAAGCATTGCTGGGCTTTGGGCAGAGGTGTTACCCATCTGACTTACATCTCCCGCCTCCAGACGGGTATATTCGATTGCTTTTTGGAGACCCCGTGGGCAGCTCAAGTTAAATACTCAGTCCTCATTATTTGCAAATTTTGCAACTGGAATGTGCCTACTAGGTAAAATTTATTTGTAATCCCCAAATCAATATGTAAGATGCTTTTGTGGTCATTTGTGGCCATGCATAGAGTGAGAAAAGCTTGAATCACCTGATAGCACATTCCCAGCCGAGGCTGAACAAAGTAATGCTCTGACTTTGCGTTTCAGCTCTCACACTGTAAGTAAGTGCTCTTTTTGCGGTCCATTGAGTGCCACATTTTTTTTTTTTTGCATTTTTATGCTTTTCCTTGGTTATTTCACTGTTTAAAATGGCTCCCAATCATAGTGCTGAAGTGCTGTCTAGTGTTTCTAAGCACTAGGATGCTGTGATGTGCCTTATGGAGAAAATACATATGTTAGATAAGCTTCATTCAGGCATGAGCTATAGTGAGGCTGGCTGTGAATTCAATGTTAATGAATCAACAGTCTATATTAAACAAGATGCCTTTAAACAAAAACACACATAACACAATGTTATGTATTGATGAACTGATGGAAAATATTTTGACTAGAGGCTTCTCAGAACCTACCCCTGTATTTCCTTCAGGAGCAATGGTTCAGTATTCACAATGCAGCATTCACAGTGACTATAGGATATAGTTACTGTAAATAACAAGAATCAACTCTGTGTTTGTAATACACTGAACTCCTTGTCTTTCTTCCAGACAGGATTCTCCTTTCGTATTATTAATCTTGACAATTTTAGCTCTACCATTCACTGACTCACCCCAGCCAGATAGAAACTTCCTTACTCCTCACATCAAACAAGTTTGAAGCTCCCCCTCAAACATCCTCTTCTCTCCATTCCCATTGTCACAGCCTTAGTTAGATCTTCATCTTTTGCTAGGACTAATATGTCAACTTCCTAACTGATCTCTCTGTCTCTGATCTGGCCCCCTCTGATCTCTCCTTCATTCATCTCCTAGAGATACCTTTCTGAAATGCAGCACTGATCACATTATTTCCATGCACAAGCACTTTAGGGAGTTCTCTTTTTGCCAATAGCAGTGATCTGATCTGGTACTCATTGCTAGATACCTACTGAATATCCACCTCCCAACTTTTTTCAGGTGGTAGTGTGCCCCGTTCACTTACTCACACTCCTTTATAGCATGTGGCCCAATACTCACCAACAAGTTATATGCAGAAATTACT